TTGTCTCTTTTTTCTGGTGGAATAAATCTATTCTATATTTCTATATTTCTATATTAGGTGACTGACCTGATTTATCCCACGACTGTAATAAACAATAGTCTGATAATTATAGTCCTGGGGAATCATGCTAGCATTACCCATAATTCCAAAGCTGATGACACCATTCTGAAGATGCAGTGATCCAGCCATGAATTCAGAAAACGATGATATCATCACTGTGTTTAGATTTTTATCAAAGATGGCTAAAGGTCCTCCATATAGTCCATCATTTATTCCCAAACCACCTGTATGCCAACTTATAATATAAAAGACCAAAATAAAAATATGTTACGTTGAATTCGTCCCCAGCAAGCTGCAGTCATTACTGTGACCGTGAATTTGTTTTGTACACCACTGTACACTGTTGTCAATTATGTTCACCGTTGTTATACAGCATATCAATTTCAAAATTTCATTGCTTCGTACATTTCAGCAAAATTGAATTTATTATTAATGATTGCTTAATATAGAGTAAGGGATTGACCATCAGAAACTTGAGGGGAGGTAGTAAAAACTACTGAGCACATTTTCTTTTGTGCCTATTTTTAGCTATTTTATTTTTTTGCTTTTCAATAATGTGTGGGATTTTTTTTTCATAAATATTTTTTTTTGTAACTTAATTTCCATGTAAAATATTTTTTTTCAAAATTTTCTCTGTGCAGAATATTTTTTTTAAATTCCACTATCTTCCACTGACTTTCCAATTGGTCACCCCCTAAAAGAGTATATCCTCTAATAACTAAGAAAAAATAATTATAACATATGAAATATGGACACTTTTGAAAAACATTTTGTCTTTCCAGCATTTGGCAAAGAATTCCCTGCAAAAACTCAGGTATGCATCAACTTCAAAGCAAAATTTGAATGTAGTTTCTTACCCGCCTGTATTCGTTGTCTCAAGAAATAGTCCCCCGTATGACAAGAAACCTTTGTCACCTTTTTTGCCCTCAACTTTGAAGCTGGGAAACCCTGTACATACACCATTTGACCAATTGATGCTTGTCCCTGTCAACTCTTCTGGGAAATTCTGAATATATTACAACAATATAAAATTAATAAAATTTAAATGTGATATATGTTTTAGATTTTCTTTCAGATGTTAGTTAAAGAAGGAAACTAAAACATGTACCGGTAGTTAGTAAATATTCTTTTTTTTTTACCTGACTAAACACCACCGCAGAAATATCCTTGTAGACTCTTATACCTGTTACAACAGACTTTTGACCAGATTTTGTCAGAGCCTGCCAAACGATTGACTGTTGCATGAAATTTCCAAGGTTATCAGCACCTGGCGCGGGGTCTGAAATTTTCACCAATAGCAGCGTCTTGTCATCACTGGAGAATAACTTCCCATTTATATTGAAGAAAGTGTTTGCGCTATTCAGCCATGTCTCGTTGTTTACACTTATCGAGTATGTGCCATCAGGAGATACTGTAACGGCCAATCCACTGTTCCCGTCAAAAGTCGATCCACGAGTTATATCTTGTAATTTTGTAATACAATGGATTAAAGACAAATTATGAATAAAATGAAAACTTTAAATAATTCAGAAAATGAAGAGTAAATACATGATAAATTTAAAATGACAGTTGGTCAATTGGTATGTTTAAGGGTTGTGATGTTGGATTGAGGGCAGTACTTATGATTTGATGGCCTATAGTCTAGCAACCAAATACTAATATTGCTCATGCAATTTAGTATACACATAAAATTAAGATTAAATTATTTGTTGTAAATAGTCTCAAAAATGGAAATGCTATCAAGACAGTTTTTAATAAATATATGTCCTGTATACACAGCATTTAGGAAATAGAAAAAAATCATACAACAAATTTTTCGCTACAATCATTAAATAAGAAAAAGTCACTTTCATTGGCCAGAAAATGTCTATGGTAATGCCTTTTACCCATGAGTCTCTGCAGTATTCCCCCATTCACTACTGATTGACAAGGAAAATAGATCCCACAAATACATGTATATTCAAAACTAATCATCTGCAGATACACCGGGGTATATTTTCAATATAACAAGCAGTACCATTACAGACTGGTACATGTTTCAGTGTAAAACTTCAGTTAGGAGGGTAATTGTCAGGAAGGGTCAAAGACCACACTGA